CCATATTTTTTTCTCATTTCTGCCTCTCTCTTAATGGGGGTAAAAAAGAAAATTGTAATAAAAAATTGATAACATATCTTGCAAATGAGACTAAAAAAATCCTGTTATTTATCTTATAAACAAGATTAGATAAGGCATAATTTAAATTTTGATTGCCTCTTTTGTCTCAACTTGCTCTCTCTCTCTCTCTCTCTCATCATTATTTGTTGGCAATTTGGCATTAGCATTTACTCTTCTACCTCTCTTATCATACTGGAGCAAGGATTTGAATGAAACAGCATCTTCTCAAAAGTGACTTCATCTTCTCAAAGCACTGTAGAATCTACCAAATCCACAAATAGTCATTATAGATACAACATCAAATTTACTCAAAAACATTTTTGTCTAAACCCAAAAATCTTCTTAGATGGAGCCAACAGCCATGGTTGAGAGATACTCCTCAAGATTACATTATAGAATATATTCTAAAAGCCTGACTTGATCTAACATATAAGGTACTGAGTAATTTTTATAATTAATTTTTTTATTATATCCCTACTTCATTCATTATTCTTTTTAAAAAATATATATTAAAATTTAAATTATCATTATTAAGGTACTTTTATAAAATTTTTAATAAAATTTTTAAAAAAATTTAAGATTTAACTAATGTTTTTTGATGACTGTAAATTAATTATTAATGTCCTGTATTGATGAGTTATATGATATAACTATGGAAATTGTGGGGATGGCTTCATCTACCAATTAAGTACTCCCTCCATTCAAAAATATAAAATAATTTTTGAAGAATTAAATGTTAAAAAATGTAAAGTATTTTTAATTTTTGAAGATATAATCATTTTATTTTTTAAAAAATATTTTTATTAATGAATAACTTTATATTTATTATAAGGTGTTTAACAATAGTGAATATAAAAAAATAAAATTAATTTAAAAATAAATAATTACATGAATAAAATTTAATTAAAAATATAGCAAATTAGCGTCATCTCATGAAGAGGTGGAATTGACTGTCATATCCAATTCGGGAATTTTGTCAGCATCTGATTTGGAAATGCTTTCATGATAACGTTCTGCCCCAGCGATATTGATTTTTTTTACCATATAATATAAACTGCCCTCCTGTGATCAATTTATTTACCTTTCCACTCATTCGGTGTATAGGGTCACTTTTAATAGCAACTCCCTTCAATTCGCCCAGTTTCACGTTAATTAGTGTTGGTACCAACTATAGTCAAGACTCCTCAAGTCACCATACCATGCGTTTTCACTTTATCGACCGGACACGATGAAAATAACATTATAAGTATTCTGAGACTGAAGTCGTGATTGACAGGATTTAACAAAAGAGTCATAAATTTAATTAGTAAAATTAAGTAATTAATGATTCTTATTTATTATGATTAACAAATAATATAATTTAGTTGAAAGAGTCACAAGTTTAACAGGTGTTAAGTAATTAACAACTCTTATTGAGATATTAATAATAAAATTACATAATTAACAAATTATGTAATTTTGTTTAGGAAGTCACAAATTTAACAAGTAAAATCAAGTAATTAGCAAGTCTTATTGCATAATTAGCAAGTAAAGTTACATAAATAAGAAATAATGTAATATAGTTGAGAGACTCATCAATTAACAAGTGAAGTTAAATAATTAATAAGTTCTGGTAAGGAATTAACAAACACAATTATATGATTAACAAGTATTGTAGTTTTGCTGACAGTGTTATGAGTTTAATAAGTAAAATTACGTAATTAACAAGTAATGTAAGTTAAGAGACACTATATAATCAAGAGATTTGTAAAAAAAATTTATTATATATGTAATTTTATACATTATATAAACGAGCATGTTTAATGGCTTGGTAGTCCTCTTTATCCTCTTGGTTAGCCAAAGGGTTATGAGTTTAGACCCATTCTTAGCCACCTTTGGGAAATTAATTTTGCTAGTATCCACTATAATATTTGCCTTGACATTATCAGAATAAGGCATACAACTCCGCTATAATAATCAGGATTAAGATAATTTTTTATATTAGATTATCATATCAGACAAGGGTTAAAAAAATTAGTTTTCAAAGTTGGGATCCAAAAAGACCATTTTAAAATAATTTTTGAGCGCAAATCATAGTTAAAAATACATAAAAGAAGTAAAAGAAGCACGGAAACAAGTAACATCGCTTTCAAGCATCAAAAGGGCAATTTTCAAACATCGCCTAAAATGTATTGTCCACCACAGTAGATGGCACAAAAAGAAAAGCCCTCTCACTGTGCAATGCGTCACAGTATATAAGCCCTGCGTTACAACACATTGCCACCATCATGACAGCACCTCTAGGCCAACTTTCATAGTGTGCCACTTTACCATTTGATGTCCAATTAGAGCAATTCAAGCTTTCACATGTAGCTTTTTAAACTACCTAACTATTAGCATCGATTTTATAACCAAATGCTTTATTATTTAAAATTTAGACACTAGGTGCAAAATTTTTCTTTTTCCTTTCAAAACAAACTCAAGGGTGTCCAAAACCACTAACCAAGTGCTAATAACCCTAGGATCACTTAAACCAACTCAAGTAGACCACAATATATCTAATTAAATGATCATATATTATCATATACATTTCAGACATATTTGGCCATGGCCTCGATTTATATAATCAAGGGGCGTGGACATAATCACACTCAACCATACCATATTCATCCATACACATGCAAATACCATAACACTGTAACTTGCACTAATATTTTGATATCTTACAATAATTTTATTATAATTACATTATCCTAGGCCAAGATACCCATAAATCACATATTCTCATGCAAGTGTACCAAAATGATGCGTAATCCTAAATTGACATAATATACAAATAATTCATTATACAATACTAAAAGAGAGAGATAGGGAGTTATACAAACACAAGCTCCTCAAACCCTACTAGAGCCCTCCTTCCTTTTGCTTTTATCAAAGCCTTCGCTTATAAAATATAACTCTGAGGGTGAGTCAAGAACCTAGTAACCAAATAACTAATCTAACTATTCACGTGCAAAAAAAATATATAAGCATGTGAGGTTGCAAGAAAATATATGGTTCAATTATCATTGAGGTATAATCACATGTGTATGTGTTATATACACATTCATAACAAATACATGATCAATACATATCATCTTATACCCTCTTTATTTTCTCCGATTGAATTTGTGTGTTAACTATTCAAGAAAACCAAGTCAATGTGACTGAATTGGCTCAAGCTCACCAATTATCAGAGGCAATCCTGGCCAAGGACGCATTCACCCATTCTCTGACCATAAATTCCTCTTCTCAATATTAAGGGTGTCATATGTCCAATTTATCTCAAATAGTATTAGAACTTTCAAACAAAATAGAATTAAACACTAGGGCCTCTACAATGCCAGTATATCATATAGATTTCATACAATATAACATCCACATCTCCATGATGAACTCCCACCCTTTCACAATAATCATGCTTATATAATTCAATTCAACATAGCCACACACACATGTTGATTATTCTAGATTATCCATTATCATAACAAATCATACAATCTCACAAGTATGTACATTTATGATTTTGGCATAAATCTCTTTCAAAACCCATATAGGTATAAACACACACACACACACACTTACACTTCATCTCACATAATACTTTTGAGTGGCTGTTAAATACATACCAAGAATATATTGATTTGAAATAATAATATAGGTAATTTTGTAATTTTCACAACCATCCAAACATACAAATAAAAAGATTGGATCATTTAGTTACCCTAACTATGTAGTCACAAAAAGGATTACCGTGGCAATTTGGTTATTCTATAAGAGTTCACTAGTTCAATAAGGCTCGATCAGTATTTAATTTATAATATTAAACACAATAATTAATTATAACTCTAATTAAATCATTTTTTTGCCTAATTTTGAGTACCCACTATATCTAAATTTTCTCTTTAGCAAAACTAAAACTTTCAATATAATTCATTGATTTTATTTAGCACCTAAACACTTAGATAATGATAAATTTCTACCTATATTGCTATCAATCTTTTAATTTTCACTTTGAATTTTTCTAAACCTAACCAAAAATTCCAAATCACTATAAAATTCACGAATAAAGGTTTAGAAAATTGATTTAACTCCCCAAGACTCCAATTAAGAAAATGCATTTAGCCAAAACTCAAGAGAAGATGAAAACAAAACCTACTCTACCTAAAACTACTAAGAATTAGCACAAAGGGGAAAGGAGAGGAATAATAAGCTTACTAATGAGTTTCCTTAGCCTATAATGCCTTCAAATAGATCCAAGAGTGGAACCCTAGCTCGAGAAAGGTCCTTCTTAGTCACCTTTCACAATTTCTTTTCTTCCTTTCTCCCCTTATGATGTGTATGAGCGATCTGATATATTCAAATTCTACACATTTGCTATGATGAATGGCACAATGAGGCCAAATTGAATTTTAGACTTCACTTGATATCCTGTCCACACAAACTTCTATCCAACCTTCTTTTAAGACTGTCTAATAATTCAATAACTTCATTAGTGGTATGAAAATATTATTAATTTATTAATCACTCACTTTTATCAATTTACCTTTTTTAAACACTAATAATTTAAAGTTTGAAATTAAAGATGTTATACCCATTTGAACTCTAGTAGCCACTAGTGTGGTCCAATCATCAGAGCTTTAGGGCAACAGTAGATTTTTTTTTTGGGAAAATTATTCTAAGAACATTTTGATTTTTTCTCTACAAAATATAATTTTAAATAAATTTCTTGATCTTGTAGTGTGATATTAATTTTTTTTTTAGACTAACTTGTAATTATGTGACATCCCAATCCACGAATGAAATTCTCCCTTAAAAATATGACCAGCTCACCCTAAATTGATGAGTGATTTTCTATGATTATTTTATTAACCTCCACCTTTCATTCCATTACAAACAGGAAAACACAAAGCAAGCGAGCTTCAAACAATAAGCAGCCACGTCGACTGGTTCAAAGCAGTGGCCGAGGTAGTAACGATAAACAACGAAATATTGTCGTGAATGTATCATCTTTAGTCATCGGTCATAATATCGATACTCCGCGAACATGACTTTCAGGCAAGTCGTCATTTTTCAGTGTGATTGTGCACCCCTGCTTTGAGCAATTACTTCGCTCCCAGAAATTATTGCCCCTTGGATGGGCGTCAACGATTAACCTGCACAAGTCCCTTTCAATCCAGCAGCAGCCGGAGGAATAGCAAAAGATTTTGTCGGCTAGTTTTTCGGGTTATCGAAATTTCTTGGGGAAAAAACAGTGTTCTGCTTATACTGTCAGTCTCGGCTAAATCCCTTTGCTCTCCATGGCTGTGAAATCTTATCTGGTACCTGGGTCAACGACTTCCCAAGTTGGCTGGCGTGATTTATTGACTAAACATCCTGGAATTGCATTGAATTGGGGGAGTAGACAGAAAAGGGCCCGCAATTGGAGAAATAAGGTTACTGTGCGGATGGCTGATCAGACGAGCCATGATATGTCCAAGGGATTGCAGAAAGATTTAAGCTCGCTTCCAAGTGGGTTATCTTGTCTTTTATTATTTTCTTTTGATGTGTTACATTTTAGTTTATAGTTCCTCTAAAAATGAAGTTAATGGGCATAAATGCCACGACGCATTTGACTTATATAGTGCTGTTACTAGTCCATGGTTCTATGTATCTGAACTAATGATTGAATTGCCATTGTCCGTATATGTAATGGTCTTGAAGTGGACTGGCTACTTTATGTGTGAAGGGTTATTGGAGGGGGACTGAGATTGCTGGATGCTGCAATGATGAAAAAGGGGGAAAAAGAGGTAGTGTTGGGGCCTTTTTTTTTTGGGGGGGGGGGGTTGTTGGCCGGTGCGGTACCAACTGCCAAGATATGTAGTATTAACATTTTCCGTGTTCTTTTTTTAGTCATCAGATATGTACTGATTTTGAGCCTGAATGATTGTTTATGGATACTCTTCATCGTGGAAAGGAACTCTTGACCCTCTCTCGTGGAGTACTGTGAAAAAGAAATCGCTTAAGCATGTGAAAGCATGATATGAAAGTAGGCACTTAATTAAAAACTACTCAGCGAAAGAGTTTATAATTCTTTTCCCTTCCTATTCTATGCACTGTTTTTTCGAAGTGCAAAGCAGGCTGATGAGTTGCAGGAAGAAGGCTTGGCAACCAGGGAACAGACCACTGACCACTATTATTGATGTTAGATTTAGAGAGTTTGTTCTTCCTTACAGAATTAGCAATAAATGAGCACGGAATTTTGCCATTTTGCTGAGATAATTATGGAACTTATTGGTCGAATATTACTTCTAAATATTGTCAAATATAGATTAAGAATAACATCTCCGAAATTGAGTGGGTGCCTCGCATACCTGTACTCTTGCTATACTCATTCCCCATGAAATGATTTTCTTGTTTCTCGTTATGATCACTTCCTTGAATTCTGAGAAACATTGTTCTAAATTTTTTTGGGCGTCTTGAAAAGAAGTCCATCAACTCATGTTTTTTTAGCAGTCTCGTACTGTTTTGTTGTCCTCATATCGAATTATCAATTTTTGGTATGTGCTTCATTATGTATTCTGTCACGAGTTTTAATTTCAGATTTCGTGCTTTGCTCATATTTTTTTGACACTTGCTGCAGAACCATTGTCCGTATCTAATATTTTGTCTGCTTCTGATAATGGTGCAGAAATTCGAATATCATTCAAGGTATGATATTTGTGACGATAGCTACTGTATTTAATGGGCTGCTTGTAATTCCTTATTGCTTGGATTACTGAACTAGGGGGTACCAGGTTCCTACAGCGAGGACGCAGCAATAAAAGCATACCCTAATTGTGAGACAGTTCCATGCGGTGATTTTGAAGCTGCTTTTAAGGTTTTGATTTAAGTTCAATCTTTAACTCTCTCGAACTCCAGTAAAAGAAACTGGATAAATTTAAATATTCTTTGTCAGCCAACACACTCTCTTTTCGTTAAAGCAAATAACTTTAAACTTGTGTTATCATCCTGACCCTTTACACCCAACCATTTTAAATAGAAAAATTGTTTAGCAGGCTGTTGAGTTATGGTTGGCCGACAAAGTTATCATTCCCATTGAAAATACTTCAGGAGGAAGCCTTCATCGAAACTATGATTTACTTCTTCGCCATAGGCTTCACATTGTTGGTGAGGTGCAGCTGGCAATTAATTTCTGCCTTCTAGCTCTACCTGGTGTCAGAGCAGAGTTCTTAGAACGTGTTCTAAGCCATCCCCAGGTGCTTATTGTTGTTCTTTTTCTGCTTTTTCTGATATGTGGTTGTGTCAAATTGTTTTTTCACCTGCGGGAAAAAATCTTCATTAACTCTCACTGCATCTAAATCTGTGCAAAAGAGCAAATATTGGTATTATAATTTGGAAAATATGAAGTTGAATTTATTTTTTAAAAGAAATTTAAAGTTCCAAAATGGTCAAAGTTTTTTCCTGAAAGCTTAGAAATTGCTGTAAGTTGTATAACAGAAGGTATGATGTGTGCTTCTCTCAAATTTGACCATTCAACTTAGTCAATAGTGGGGCAGAAGATGTGGACTATTTATTTGTAAGACGCACGAATCTGTACTGGTTGGAAGATAGCTTTGAACAACTGTGATTCTTGTTTGTAGGCACTTGATCTTTGTGATGCCTTCCTTACTAAATTAAATGTTGCTAGAGAAGGTGTTGATGATGCTGCTACTGCTGCTGAGGTAGTTCCTCTATTTATCTCATTTGATTCATGAGTTTCTGAACATCTCAGTGACAAATGCTTATTTTTTTTCCCTCTTCTCAATGCTCTTTTGACATCAGTATGTAGCTTCAAATGGCCTGTACAAAGCTGGCGCGATTGCAAGTCGTCGAGCTGCAGAAATTTATGGGCTTAATGTACTTGCAGAAAGAATCCAAGTAAAATCCCTTACCAGAAGCAAAATATCTTTAATTGACATATTTTCATTATCGTTTGCTTGATTGCCAGAAATTATCCATTTGTTTTTTAGTCAATGCATCTATTATTTTGATGCTTGATGCTGATAATAAACTCTCAAATTAGAGGACCAATATGAATGCTCGACTTTGTTAATGTGCACTGGTTGGAATGATGATATATCTTGTATAGACCTGTCCCATGCTCATATGCTGTTAATATTGAAGAAGCAAGAGAAATATATCTTGTATATCCATGATTATGGTTTTTAAATGAGATTACTCACCTTTTGTACAGACTTATAAGCATTTTTGGTTAGGCAATTCTTAAGATATCTCTTTAAATTGGTTAAAACCTGTCAACTTTTGTGCGCAATCAAGCAGCTGTAATGCATTTGCTGTGTGTTAACCTCTCAACGACACCAGTTAAAGAATTGTTCTACAAGATAAATAGTTAACCAGTACCAAGAAACCGTATTCTGTTAGAATGGAAATAGCGTATGAGGAATATCCTTATTATCCATTGACACATATTTTTATACTACACAAAGAAAATTAAGGCAAATAAGAAATGCTCATCTGTCTATTTCTGCATCTTGAACAGGATGATCCTGAAATTATCAGTCGTTATCTAATTCTTGCCAGGGATCCAATAATTTCAAGAGCTGATAAGCCATTCAAGGTAAATATTCCTTTAACCTGTAGCCGTGATTTTTATTTTCTTACAAAATTTTGTGGAATCAAACATCATCTATTAATTTCAGACAAGTATAGTGTTTAGTTTGGACGAGGGTCCTGGGGTATTGTTTAAGGCATTGGCAGTGTTTGCATTGAGGGACATCAATTTGAGTAAGGTAATCTTTCAAAAAAAAAAAAAAAAAACATTCCTTCTCAGAGCCTACCTCATTACATTACATGCTTTTACAAGGTTTAATGAATATATGACTTATGAACTCAGATTGAAAGTCGACCACAAAGAAATCGACCATTAAGAGTGGTTGATGACTCCAACACTGGAACTGCTAAGTGAGTAATATTTGAGTTACTGTATCTCTCTCTTGTGCGCCCGCCCGCACACATGTATTTTGCATATTAATTACCTGGTTTGAGATTTTTTCCATGTAAAGTGACATTAATCTGCAATGTGTGTGGATCTTTAAATGGACTTCGTATGCCAAATATCTTTTTTTGTTTTGTGGTGCCCAATGCAAATAGTGCAAGGTTTTTATTTCTATCTGTCCCCCATGCTATTTTTGAGGACGAGCCCTTGAAAGCTGATAAAGACTTGGTAATATGAAATACTGAGTTTTACATTGAGTAGGATGGGATATTCAATGAGATATTTAACTAGGTTGGTTTTCCCATTTCAAATAGCTAATTTTTGGGATAGGATTTCTCATCCTACTTGACTACCCATCAACTCTTGCGTTTATTACTATGACTACTACTACTATTAAAAAGTTATTTTGATGTTGCTAATTCAAACATTTTGATAACATATGATGCTTTCTGATTCAGGTATTTCGACTATCTTTTCTATATTGATTTTGAAGCTTCTATGGCTGAGCCCCGGGCACAAACTGCTCTAGGTCATCTGCAGGTTTGGTAGTTAATATTCTCTTTTTCTGACCAAAATTGACTTTAAGCTATGCATTTTGCTTTTAATCTCTAATTATATTTGACTTTCCTTATAGAAAAGCTGAGTGAGAAATACTGATAAATTCCTGTTCAAATGTTTTGAGCATAAAATTTATACAACAACAACAACAAGTCTTATTTCATTAGGTGGAGTCGGCTACATGAATTATATGACACTATTGTGCTCTATGACTTATTAAGGTTTTAGAAATATTGTTACTTGAAGCTTAAATTATGAATTCTTCTGTTCTATGAGGTGAATCAAAACAAAGATTATATCTACAAATTTGGACCATTTTCATGCATAAAGATTTCAATGAATTGAAAAAAAATTCTTGAGGTGAAGTTATAATTGATGATTGAAAGTTTTGTTTCTTTAAATTTGGTAAAATTATTGAATCAAACATTCAAGCTGTCTTTGGCAAATCTTTTGTTCCATTTGTTTTCCATCCGAGGCATCCTTGTTTTCCATTCAAGCTGCTGCGTAAATCTATGAGTGAACTTCTTCAAAACTTCACTCTTCTTTGAACATAACACAATCACTTGTAATATTTGCCATTCATATTCTTCATTTCTTCTCTGTTCTTTTGAAGCAGCAGATCTAGAGTAACCCTCTCAGTCCGTAAATTGGAGCATGCTAAAACTAACTAAAGGAAATGGACAGCCTTCTTGATACATGTCAGAATTAATGTTTGAGCCTAAATCTCCTTGCTAACTACTTATATTCCTCCTCAGTAAATCACGCCTAGTGGCTGAGAGTTTTGGATGCTTTTCTATATTAAACATTTGAGTTCGACCTGGCCATCATTGCTCCACCGTTACTTTGTTTGGCAACCTTCAAATTCTGTTTTCATCTGTCTACGAGTAAGGGTACAATCTCTGTCTATAGTGATGTTTTACTTTCTTAGGCAGCTTGTATTGTCTGATACCGTGTATTATTCATACAAATAATAGGGTCCACAAAAAAGCCCCCCGAAAAAAAAAAAGTCATATAAATAATTGCCGATCCTTCTATTTGCTTGTCATGACCACTTTGTCATATTTTCAAAATCATTCTTGCAGGAATTCGCCACATTTATTCGAGTTTTGGGCTGCTATCCTATGAGTGCAACCATATAGATACATCTTGTTGAAGAACTTCATGTTGATGCCTTCATGCTTAAGCCTGAGTGAAAGAGGATCTTGGGAGGAAACTTGGCGGCCAGATTGTAAGATGGCAACGGTTGATCGTTCTTAAACATATCATGAGATGCCACTGAGTCTAGATAAATTTGAAGATGATCTTCTGGAGGATGATCAGAGGTGCAAAAATTAAGCCAAATTACAGTGCCTCCTTGATATGCATCGTTTTCTTCTTGTTTTGTATATAGTGCAGCAACTAAATAGGGGTTTGAATCTCATGCTAGTTCATGCTAAACCAAACCACAAATAAAAAACATAAAATTGGGGGAAAACACATAATACATTGTTTCGTGTGTCCTGTTACTTTACTGAATAAATACATGCTTAGTCAGCGATTTTGATTGATTCCAAAAAGAGACACTTTGTTATGCAAAATATTGTATTTAGAAAAAGAGAGTGAAGTAATAGGGAATGGTTAATTAGTTTTGGTTTCTGGTTGTTATTAAAAAAGAAAAAGAAAAAGTGAGTGAATATATGAATGAAATCATGTTTTTGTCTTTATCAAAAAATAACTAGGTGGCCCGTGTCTATTGTAGAGTTGAGGTTTTTTGTCTTATATTGATAATAACAAGGATATCATAAACATCATATTTTATTATTTGAGTATTAAAAATTATTTTTTACAGTAAATAATGAAAGTAAATTATTTTAAAACTATGCGGACAAAAGATTGGACATAGATACAACTTATAAAAGTCATTATTTAATGTATATGTGTATTATTTTATTATTTATTGACATAACCATTCATTTATATTTTTGAATTTATGTGTATATACACATGAATTGAGGCTGGTTATCCAATATGTTGTTTGTTCTTAAATGAAAGTACTTTTAATCAAAATAAAGGAAAAAGAAATGGAAATTAAAAAGAAGAAAATGAAAGCTAACTATTTGGAGTAACATGAACCAGTGGTTTCTTTTAATCGAACTACATTATTATTTTTAAATAATTATTGATAAACAGAGGAAATCCAATAAACATGGAGGAGAAGTATAAGACGCAGTATTGTCTAAATCTAAACAAATGTCTTACTTTTATAATTTTCATGTCGTGATTATATCTTTCTGTGAACTATATTTATTCCGGTGTGATACACGATAATATTTCAATATTTAAAAGGCAAAAATAAAATAATTTTTTTAAATATATTTTATTTTAGCCACCGTTAGATTTGTTATTTGTTTAAAATGAATTTAAATAATAATTTATTTTATTTCAAACTAAATCTTGCCTATGCAAATTAAATAATAAATAATAGCTTATTTTATTTTAAATGTTCTTGTGGATGAAATTGCTAGCTTTCCATACTCGTGCTCTTTTTTTTTAAAAAAAATAATAATACGTGATAAACTTTGAAATTACATTAAAAAAGAATTACTATTAAATTTTTCCTTGTATAATTAATTGAAGAAAAAAATTTGCTTCCCAATAAATATTCTTATATTGTTGCTCACGGAAATTAATTATATTCCCTTCAATGGCCTTCCAATGAAGAAAAGGGTGACCGTGTGAGGACATTTTTATCACTTTTCAGCATTTTTATTTTGATTGTTTCAAAAAATCAACTAAACTTTTCTTTTATTACCATGTTCTAAATAGGACTAAGAGTCATTTTAACCTCTTAATTATATGTGAAAGGCTACTGAGAATTTTAAACTTAATTATGGGTCAATTATATCCATCAACATAAAAAATTCCCTCTCTCATTATCTTAATGTTAAAAACACCTAACACCATTCATCATAAATGAGTCCCACCATTTCTTAAATACTACTTCCGTTTTAAATTATATGGCACTTTTAAAAGAGTTTTTTTGCCTCAAAATATAAGATACTTTGAATAAATTAAGATTTCACTAAACGTAATAATTTTAATATTACCCTTTCTCTCTTTATAATTAAATTTCATCTTTCTCTTTTCAATATAGTAAATTATAGCTCTTTTTGGAAGTTTATATTTTTGTTTTAAAAAATAAGATTGTTAAGTGTAATTAATGAGGTTTATTGGTATATAAGATTTTATCTAAAAGTGTCTTATAACTTGAGATGGATGGAATATTTTTTATTATAAAATATGTAACATCCTGAAAATTAACTCCTTGTTTAATTAAGAAAAATGAGGGTAATTAAATAAATTAATATGATATGTGGTTAGTGAATGATTAAAGAGGGTTAAAGGGCCTTTTAGGTTGTGGTTGTAGTCTTAGGATTAGGTCTAAAGCAAAGTTGGGCCTTGAAGAGAAAGAAAACATGGAAGAGGCAGTATTGTACCACACATCATGGCTTATAAAAGGTCACCGTGATGCATGGATCATATTTCAAAGTGGAGTCTCTTTGTACCACATGTCGCAACATATACTGCATATGGCACTACACGTGGTTGATTTTTCAAAATATTAACACAAGTCTAACTTATGAAACAGAAGGGAAAGATAGAGCTTAAAAGAGAAAATGAGGAGCTTGAGTATTGCTTTATTAGGGCACACATTGGTGGGATTTTTAAGAGGATTTAGGATTTCCAATTGTTGAGGAAAGTCTTCCTCAACCTTCCTCTTCCTGTCTACAATTATAAGTTAGGGTTTGTTTTAGGGAAGTAATTTTCAAACTCTCCAAGCTATAGGTCCAAACCTATTAATTTAAATAAAACTAATGAGAGTTGTTTGAGTTATCTAAACCTAGGGTTCATGGTTCTACTCATTTTTAGTAATTAAAGGGTATTAATGGCCGAATAACAATAAATTAGGCGATTGAAGGTTGTTTAGTTTCGTTAATGGTCAGTAGAGAGTTTATTGATGTTAGTTAGAGAAAATGGTAATTAATAAACTTAATGAGTATGATGAAATACAAGAAATTAGGATTTTTGTATTTAAAATGTTGAAAAAGAGTGTTGAGATTGTGTTGATAAGGTTATTAATAATTAATAGTATGATTAATTATAGATTCATTATTGATTGGCATCATTTGAGCTTTGAAAGTATTTTTGTATTGAGAGATAAATATTTGATCTCTCAAAAGTTTGATACAGCCAAAAGAAATTTAGTTGGAGCATTTTCATGTTTGATTAATTTTAGATGTTTATAAACTTGTTTGAAAACATGTAAGTTCATGAAATTATTTTCGATGCAAGTATGGTAATTTGATAACAATTTTGATGTGATATGTATGAGAATGAAACAGTGAATATTAAAGAAAAGCTAAGTATGTATGGTGAACATGATGATAATGATGTGTGATAATGATGTGATATATTCTTATGGAAGTTAGTTTTGTGAAGAGTATGAGAAATATGAAATTATGAAATTGTGTGTACCAAGTAGATTTATGTTGTAAAGAAGCATGATGTGTACAAGCATTGCATGTAACATCCTGGTTTTTAATCTCCTGATTTACTAAGCTTAATTAGGAAAATTGAGTTATAAGGTGTAATAACCCAACAAAAGATGATTAAAAAATAATAATAAATAAAATTACAGAAAAGTATTTTGACTTGGTTTATTTTTATCTTAGAGAAAGTATTAAAAAAATGAAAAAAATGAAAAAAATGATGGTCTAGTAGGATGAGTGCTATACATTAAATTGTCAGGGCCTAAGTTCGAAACTTTTGGAGGCTTAGAGATGAATTGTGTTTTGCTTCAGTTTTGGTAAATATCATACTGCCCCTTAGATTTTTTAAAAGAAACAAGAAAAACTCATGCGCATAGAGGAGATATCATGTTTTCCCCTTCTCATACTTTTTTCGACAAATTCTCTAGAACTAAGTGTGAAGGAGAGGGTGAGCTCGGTCCTTCATTGTTCATTCTCTGCCCTCCCTTCTCCGCCTTCTTTCTCATTCACTGCTGACGACTATGAGAGCACCAAAGCTATCTTCTTCCATCTTTGTCCAAGTAGCTAAAGGGGGTACATTGATATGCTCTAGTTCACTCTTCCCTGCTCTGCATATTCTCCTTCATTCTGGCTTCTTTTGTTTTCTCCTCCTGTCATTAGCGAGTGTGTGTGTGAAGGCGGAGAAGCCCAGCTTGTTGACGCTGCAGACTTCTAATTTTTCCCCTTGTTTTGCGACGCTACCTTGAGGTACGTGAGGATTTCCACATCTTTCTTTTTTTTTCTGATGCTGTATGTATGGGTATGTTTTGGGTGTTTAGAGTTTCCTTCTTTCATTCATCATTTAATTTCTTAAGATGTTAAACCTCACCTCCCTTGCGCTGAATCTGCTTGTGCATGAATAAATGTGGCTATCTTAAAACAATAATAAAACAGAGTGCCTCCCATATTCTTTCTTGGTGTGTGAATGGAGAGACAATTAGGATCCAAGGAAGTTGAAAATAAAATTTCAAAAGCATGACTTTATTTATAATTTTACTATAATTGGTTAGTTGATCCTTAAGGAGGATGAGAGTGGATTTTGAATTTTAGGTGAACTTAAGTTATTTCTTGACGATAAATGGGTTGAAAACTATTCTACATTTAAGTATTAATGTTGGTGATTATTGGGTATGAAATTAGAAACTTAAAAGGCTTTGGTGAATGGGTTGGAAAATGATGCACTCAATATCTTTGGCATAACACCTAGAAGGAAATCATATCCTAATGAAGTAATTAGCCATGGCTGAAATTATATGGAGAAACCTTAGAACTGGGAAAATTTAAACTATTTTGGTTGATTTTGATTATATGAACATTGGAAGGGAATTTATTTAAATTATAGATAGTTTATTAAAAATTTATTTATGAAAAGTTAATGTTGAGATATTCTATTTTAATTTTCTAAATTTGTTTGGGATTGAAGATTTTGGCTTTATAAAGTGTATAATAGAAATAAAAAAAATGTTCCCTTATGCATCAGGGAATTGAGGTGACAATGTTATAAAAGTGGCTAATTAGGAGTAAGTTATATTTGGAAATATCTCAGGTAAGTGAATAGCGTCCCAACTAATATTTCATTAAAATCTGCTTTATTCAAATATTAAATTTTTATGCAAATTCTTTTTACAACAAAAATGTGATTGTTAGATACTTTGTTAATTAAATTTCTTCATTTTTAAGTTTTAAGATGGTGTTGAAAAATAATTCATCATACATATGAATGTTTTACCCCTTATGAGATATCCTTTCAGAATTGATAAAATTTCTTTTTATTAGCATTGAAATTTTTTTATTATTCAACAGATACAAACATGAGCATTAGATATGAAATTTTATTCTAACAATTTTTAATGCTTAAAAGTATTCATGCGAGTTTAATTTTAAAAATGAGAACTGTATTTTGAAAGTGACGATTTTCTCGCATGTTTGAAAATAGTTTTTTTTTAAAAAAGGGACTTTATACAGAACACTGGTTGCTAATAGCAGTT